AAGCCTTGCTGGGGAAAACCACCTTCAGGAGCACAGCATCTCCCCTGCCAGGTGAGTATGTCCCCTTTACCTTCTCTCCGTCTTATATATTACATCTACACACACTGAAACCCCAGGCGTGACTTTTTTCTCCCAACCAAATATATTTTAAAGAACTCATTAAGAGAACAACGGTCTACTGTATTTATCTAGCATGTACCATTTCTGCTCCTCTTCCTGCCTAAGTTTCAGGTTTCCTTCTGACAGTGTCCCTACTGTCTGAACAGCTTCCTTTGGCAATTCTTTTAGAACTGCTGGCCACACATTCTCTTCGCTTTCCTTCATCTGAGAATACCTTCATTTCACTGTCATTTCTAGGCATTTTTGCTAGATACAGAATTTTGGGTTGGTAGCTCCTTTCTTTCACTTCCTTCTGGCCTCCATAATTTCTGATGACGCAATCAGTCATTCAAATTGTTGTTTTCCAATAAGTAGTGTGTGTTCTCTGGCTGCTTGTAAAATTTTTGTCTTTATTTTCAGCAATTTGGTTATGACGTGTCTGGGCATGGACTTCTTAGTCTTTATCCTGTTTGGAGTTCATGGAGGCCCCTCTCCCAAGTCTGTAGGTTTATGTCTTTTCCCAGACTTAAAACACATTCATTTATTCCAACATTGTTTTCTGCATTGCATTTTTCTCCTCTCCTACTGGAACTCCAGTAACAAAAGTGTTAGACTTTTTAATGTTGTCCCACATGTCCCCAAGGCTCTGCTCATTTCCCCCAATCTTTTTTTCTCTGTATTATTCAGATTGGATAATTCCTATTGATCTAAAAGTTCACTCTCTCTTTCCTCTGTCATCTCCATCCTGCACTGAGCCTGTCCAGTTAGTTTTTATTTCAGTTCTGTATTTCTCAGTTATAAAATTACTATGTCGTTCTTCTTTGTATTTTCTGTATCCGTACTGACACAATCTATTTTCCATTTCAAGAGTGTTTGCCCTTACTTGTTGGAACATTTTTGTAACGGCTGCTTTACTAGTTAATGCTGACGCCTGTGTTATCTTGGCACTGGTACCTGCTGTCTTTCCCTTGTGAGTTGAGATTTTCCTAGTTTTTCATATGCCAAGTAATTTTTAATTGCATTCTAGATAGTTTGAATATTGTCACGAGACTCTGGGTCTTATCAAAACCCCTTGGAGAATGTTGATACTTTTGTTTCAGCAGGCAATTGACCTGGCTGGATCCCAGACCCAAGTTCTAATCAGGCTTCTGTGAGTTGTAGTTCCAAAATCAGTTGAGATTTCAAAGCCTTTGCAGTACTTGGTGAATCTATCCCACGTGCGTCCCACCCAGGTGTCTGGGATTTGTGTGGTGGCCTATCCCCAAGGTCAGTTCTCAAAGTCTATGTGTGCTATTTGGGTCGGGTCCATGTATCCACAACTTGGGAGTAAGCCCTGCTGTTCATAACAAGCTTAAACAGTCACTTTCCTGAGCTCTTCCTCCCGACACGCCCCCCAGTACTTGCTGGTTCCTCAGTCTCCCGTTTTCTGGTTCTCTAGCCACTCTTCCCACAACTATGTCTGTCTTGGGGCCAAACGGTGGGAAGAGAGAACACAGCATCAGGCGTTTGCCCCACCTTGGGAACGAAGCTCCTGTAATCAGTTTCCTTCCCGAGCGTTTTAGGCTCCTGCCAGCCCTTGCTCTGCTGCCAGGAGACTGCTTGGGGGCTGGGTGCGTGAGAACAGAGAAAAGGCAACAATCAAGTGTGAGGCTTCTGCGTTCTCTCTGAGTGCTCGGAGACCCCTTTCTCACCCAGAACCAGAGAGTGTTAACACCCGCAATGGGTTGGGGCTACCTTGAATTCAGGCTGTGAAATACCAGAAGGGGGATATGGTAAACTCAGTCAATTCAGTGGTACTTCAAGTTCTGGTTTTCCTCCCCGACTGTTACTTTTCCGGACCCCTAACCCTATGCCATGCGCAATGTGCAAGTTGTACAGCTGCATCCACTGGGAGAGATGGAGCCGAGTGTACTTCCCCAGAATGGGGCTGCTCTTCTTGTGAACTGGTTCAAGCCCATTCTCCAAGGATACACGGGATGATGGCAATGAAGGAAGTTTTCTGTTTTAGAATCTACCCATAGGCCCACCCCCGTTACCTGCACTGACCACCAAGGCTTATCCGTCCTGCAATGTGTGATGATGGATGGTTTTCTAAGCACCCAGACTTCTCAGAACCCAGAGGTGGGAAGAATGACTGTTACTCTGAGAGGTCCTGGTTTTGCCCTCTTCCGGATTCTCTCTTTAACATCTCACCGCTGACTTGAGATTCCAGAAGGCCGTCCAAGACATTCCAGGTTATAAAAAGCCAAACACCGATGCTCACCTTTGCTCACAGGCAGCGTTTTTCCTAGGACACTGCCCTCCACAAGCCTGTCCTTTCCTGCCGCTCTGCTGGCCACCCTCAGCCGCTGCCTCAGAGCCCACCCAGGACCCAAACTATCTGCTCAACCTCGTTTCCTGACAATAGTGCCAATTCCTCAAGTCTGTGTACACCATGTTATGTTTAAAAGACTCACAAACTCTGTCCTTGCCCCAGCTGGTGTAGCAAGGTGGTTAGAACATTGGGCTGAGCACCAAAGGGTCAAGGGTTAGATCCCCAGCCCGGGTTGGGGCACGTGCTGGAGGCAACCAACCAATGTCTGTCTGTTTGTCTATCTGTCTCTCCCTCCCTTCTTCCCTCCCTCCCTTCTACTCTCTCTAAAAATCAATAAAAAAATATCCTCGGGTGAGGATTAACAAAAAACAACATAAACCAACACCAACAAAAAACCTCTGTCCTAAATGTCTGCAGCCATGAGCCCCTCTGAAATCCACCTTTAGTGGTCTTTTCTTCTAAAAAAATTAAAAGAACACGCATGGAAAAATTACTGAAAGGAAAAGTACCAAAATGCAAACAGTAGTTATTTGGGGTAGGAAGACTCCAAATTTCTTAATTTGCCAGCATCTTATACATCTTCTACAAGTTAATATAATGAGGAAGTTTGTATTGCTAATTTATCTTTAAAAAATCCACTCCCCATATCCCAAAACTTGAGCAATTGGGGGACCATTAAGCCATGGCCATCTCATGCCAGGCTACAGCAGTAGGACTTGATAACATGGCTTCACCTACACAACTTCACTGGAACGTCCAATTTCCCAGCCATTGCTTCTCAAACAAGACTGCACATCGGATTCACCTGCAGAGCTTAAGTATAAACAAAACACCTGCTCAGCTGGAAGGGCCTGTGAGAAGAGAAGAAAGACTCTCAAGTTTTAGACCTGAAAGCTTGGCACCG